ATTAAGAAGAAAATTTGTTCTATTTAATTCGAAAAGATAAATATGAAAATTTTAAAAATTGTGAGTCTGGTTAAGTGAAAAGGAAATGTCGCGTAGATTGAACGTCAAAAATTTTTCCCATTTAATTTGTCAAAATTTCACAAAATTTCAAAATTGACGTCTGAAGAGAAATCTATGATACGTGATGGTAGATTGGATGATTAAAACAATTTTTTTTCATTCTCTCGATTCGAATAAAAATTTCAAAAAATATATATATCGGAATATATGGTTAAAGATTGAATATATCGGAAATATTCTTCAATTTGTACGTTCGAAAATATATTTTTTTCCCTCGCTTTTCGCTGATTTAAAACTATTATGCGAATATATTCAGCTCGTAAATATACAACTCGCGCATGGAGCGGAAGTTACAATTCGTACATTACGTAATTTAAGCCAGCTGTTGAAGCCGGCTTTATCTTTATCTCATTGCCGTAGTTGATCTGAATCTCATCGACTCGATAATTATATAATTCGTTGTGTATCGTCGCTGGCTTGGGAATCAACGAATCGAGGAAGCGACTCGTTAGCGAATCAGGTTCTTGTAAAACTCTTGTAAACCCTTCCTGCTTTCATTTTTCAATTCGAGGAAAAATATTAACCAGATTGAAAAGACCAATCCCAACGGGATTTATTACGCGCTATTTTATGCGTAGCAGAGCTGTTAATAAATTCACAAAAAATATAGAAATACCTGTTGAGACTTATTTATCAAGTTTTGCACCTGCAAAAATGAAATCTTTAATCGCTCGATGGTTTAATAAGCAAGCTTCGTTCGACGAATTTTCGGTAAATACCAAAACGTTTCACGCTTAGAATCCAATATTTCGATAATATTCCACGAGCACAATGCAATTCTATATTTTCTACGAATATTTATAAAATATTTAATCGAGCACACCGATGATCGAATCGAAAATTTTCGACTCTGTGACAAATATTACAAAGTAACGAAGTTCTCGTCGCATTGGAATAAGTGGAAAATTTGTTAAAAATTATATTTTAATTTTATATTACAATCTATCCCCCTAAACAGGCAACGAACCGTTAAATAGCACTACTCCTTTTTCCCACAACATATTTTCCACACGTTTGAAAATTGAATTCAAACAATCTCCGTTATAAATTCATCGTAATTCCGCTAAGCTAATTAACACTCTATAACGCAATAATTTTCGCTTTCATCAACGAGTTAGATCTAGAGTTATGTTTAATTATCAATTAAAACACCCACCGATTACCAATCTCGACCGAGATCAAACGTCGGACGTAGTGTAGGCCAACTAGCGCGTAAAGAAAGGGGAAGAACGAGGAGGGGGGAAAAACGACCGCAGAGAGAGAGAGAGAGAGAGAGAGAGAGAGAGAGAGAGAGAGATGATACGCTGAACCTTTGCCCATCGGGAACACGGGATGACCCGTTGTCACGAAAACGGAAGCCGCCGGCTCCCCCGTTTTCCTGTAATCAACTCGCCTCGAAGTTTTACAGGAACGAAGGAACGAAGGAAACGCTTTGGCGAAAGCTAATTAATTGGCATTGGATTCAACGGTTCAAACGCTTCACGGTTAATCACTGACCGAAACGAACCGAGAAATCCGAGAGTTTAATCCTAATTAAATGCTTACGCAGATTTCGCTAAGAGTTAATTAATTTCACCAACATGCACACGTCGCGCGTGCTGCCCGCTAATGGATAATTAGAGGAAGAAAACACGAAAGACCTTCTTTTTTTTTCTTTTTTTGCGATTCAGTGACACTCGGTTACGATGTATTACAGTAATTAATTAATGTTCTGATATCGCCATGGAATTTTTAAATCGTCTCTTTTTGATTTTTAACAATAATATAAAAGGAATCACGATCATCCTAGTCGAAAAGATTAATGGAATTTTGGTGTATAAAATATATTTCGAATAAATTAAAAATTTATCAAGTATCATTTGCAAAATTAAATCTAGCAACTCTTCGAAGATGTATATATTTTTAAAATATATTCCTCGAGATCCCCCTCCCATTTTCTTAATAGGAAAATATTACATCCCAGTTCCGAATAACCAAGTCGATACCCGATACCCAGAGGATAAATCCATTTGCCGATCCACTCGTCGCAGAAATTTGAGATTCGAATTCCGTGGAAGATGCGCGCGTACGCGCTCCACACACACACACACACACACGTACTCGTGGAAATTGAATAGAAATCGGGCAAACTTGGAGACGGAAGTCGGTACTACTCCTCCGATTCCGTACACTTTCCACTCTCGGTGGACGGACAGGTATCCAGGTAAAGGTGTATATATACGTACACACCTCTCGACTGTATCGTCGAGAAAGTTGAAATTGCTCTATCAAACAGTCGCTCGGCTCTGCGCAGCAGATTTCTCCTGCAACACGTGTCTATCCCGTGATAGTCGGCGTCTCGCCTCGCGGCTTTCCCGCGAAACTTTCGTCTCTCGTGTTACGAGAGACTCCAAGTTTTCGCAGAGAATCGATCGAAATAGGGATCGTTTTCCTTTTTCTCTCGCGCGAAAAATGGTTGAAAATATGGTTGGTATATGGTTAACGAGGAGGAGGATGGAAACATTGGAAAGCTCGATCGAAATGAAAATTTTCGACGCATTCGTTTGTTCGGCAAAAAGGCGGAGCAGTAAGAGACCAGTAAGAGAAAGAATGGCAGTCGTTGATGGAATTTTATTTTATAGCGTGTACGTTCGATTATCGAAGTGTAAACCGAACAAAAAGCCACGCTCAATTATTGTAATTTATCAGGATAATTTCAAGCGCTCGTTAACTGCACACGATATTAACGATGTAAACAAGCGATTGATCACGAATTGGGAACAAAGAAATATAAAGGCTATTGTATATCGTAACGTAATTATTTATATAGTATTAGTGGTGATTTAAATTTTTAATTTTTATACAAAGTTTGTTAGAATATTGTAACACAAATATTTTTAACCATTCTCGATTCGCTCAAATTACAAATTGCAAGAAAGTGGAAAGTCCTTCGGTCCTTCCTTGCCGCGAATCTTTTGATCATTTATTATTAGGGAGCAAGAAATACGACATTCGGACACGAAGAAACTGCGAAGAAGCGTTTTGACGCAAAAGTGACGGCCGTAAATTTGGTTTGGCCGCGCGCCTCATGCATAAATGCATCGTTCGTGCATTGTGGTGGATACAACGCTCGATACACGCAAGTATCGCGATCCCGCGTCGCGATGGTCGCGCCGTTTCTCCGAAAAAAATTGCACCTTTGGATCGAATTTAAAAGAAAAAAAAAAAGAAATCGAATATTAATATCATAATTTTGAAGGAAGGCAACGGAGATTTCTCTTTCTTGGATATTCGCACGAAGTGAATTATATCGCGCCAAAATACTCGTCTAAAATTATTTATTGGAGAGAATTTTTAATATTTCGCGTATTTAATAATTTTTGAAATGTGCGCAACTTTTCTTCCGCGTCGAAAGTAAAAAAAATATAATTTAAATCGCGCAAGATAAAAATATTTTGGATCAAAAAATTTTATTTTCTTTTACGTATATCTATAAATAATTAATTCTGAAATGAAAAATTTTGTGCATCATATTCGCGTGGTGGATAATACAATTTGAATGTTAATCATGAAAGTTTAGTAGAAAAATTATTACGAAGAGGAAATCACTGAAACGAATAATTTCATATTATAGCCTCGAAGAGGGGATTAATTGGAAACGGTTATGAGACTAAAATAAGAAGCAAGATGAGGTTAGAAAATAAACCGAAACCGAATAATTAAGTAGAATAAACGAACGGTTGGGATGAGGCGAAATACAGGAAGATGTGGTTCAAAATTCGAGCTCGAGAATAAAATTAATCGGCGATGAGAAGTCAAGAAGAAGGATCGGATATTTCTTCCGTAATTAAGAATAATATCCGCAAAACCTGGATTCCCACGAAACTTCGAGGATCGAATATCTTTTTCCGTATCCGAGAACAGGATACGATTTGAGAAAAAGAAAATTGTGAAAATTTGTCGAACTTATCCTCCTTCGATCAAATATTCGAAAACCAAGTCACTGTTGTTCATATTCCATAAAAATCGAGGGATCTTTATTCTTACGTTCGATCTATATCTTATGATCTATTCTATTAAATTTATCCTTTTTAACTTCACTTTTTAAAATGATATCGATTTGCAATTCTACTTACGTAAGATGGAGTTGTTTTATATAAACAATTTTTGTTAATACACAAATTTTAAAGTTAAAATTTTAACACAAACGTTATTTTACACTTTTTTCGCATGATAAAATATATCTGCTTGATTATCGTGCAATTTGATCAATAATCAAACGTAGATATTACAAAAAACGAATAATAATAGCTTTCCCAGTCGTAAATATATTAACATTTGAATCATAAAAGAAAAATAAAAAATATGAAGTATCGTGGAAAAAACCCATTCCAAACAGAACTTACGAGAAGAAATTTAAATTATCAACTAAATTTTCACTTTCATTTTTAAAAATAGAAATATATACATACATAGAACATTCAAATCAACTCTTCTCTGCACGTGCATCGAATCTCAAGAATCATCGCACAGTCCAGTATCAAAGAGATGTCCACGAAATGAAATAAACAACGAACAAGAATAAGATACGTACCGTGAACCCGATACCGACCGTGGCCGCGAAATTTCCCGGTTGAAATTTTCCAGTGTCGAACTGGACCAGCAGGGACGTCTTGCCCACGCCACTGTCGCCCAGGAGGATTGTCTGGAAAGAAAAAGAGGAAGGAAAAAAGAGAATAGTCGGTCCTCGACCGCTATCGACTTCTTATCGAGCGCACGTCACTCAATCCCAGGTATCCTTCCATCCGTTCCATTCGTCTAGATTCTCGATTTAGAATTGAATTGATATTCCACGTAGCATCTCGTTAAATTTTAATCCTTTCAAATTTTTAAATAACGTTTTTTTCTCTCTCTCTCTCTCTTCCCAGATTTCGTTATCAATAATTAAATAAAATTTTCAAATATCCTCGAAAACTTCTCGAAATATTCTATACACTCTTCCCCGAAAACGATTTTCAATCTCAAGTAATTAGAATCAAATACGGGCGTGCTTTTTCTCCCATTCCCCTTCTTCGAGAACAGCTTCTCAAATTACGCGTAACGCACGTTCGGTTCGATTTCAGCCGTGAACCGTGGCGAGGTGTGTGGTCCCCGTAAAGGCTGCGGTCGTCAGTCAACTTTGTTGCACTCTGGCTGCACCGTCCCCCAATGTACCAACACCTGTACCCGCCAATAGCCGTTTGACCCGCTGGATTATTACATTGCGGGGCTCTGGGCACCTGCTTCGCGCCACCGGCACACGTGTTTCCATGCGTATGTGCGTGTGCGTGTCGTCGAAGATTACAGCTTGGAGTGTTTTTCAAGTATTTCGATTTTTTCTTCTCTTTTCTTTTTTCTTTTGAGAAAGAATGAAGACGAATGGATCGAGAATCGTTATTGGTTACATAATTATTTAATTTGATAGTAGATCATAATAACAATTAATTATTAATGAGATTATCTTTGGAGGATTTTCCAGAAACGAACGCAAAAGTTGATTATATTTACAAAACATTATTTATTATGGAATAATTAAAAGATAATTAAAACGAAAAACGAGTTTGATTCGAAAGAATTTTTATTCTTCTCTCCTTCCATAATCCAAAGAATACACTCTTTTTTTAAATAATACACACATTCGAGAGAAAAATAAGAATAAATCGTTTTATGTCTTTGCGCTATCGTTAGATTCGTGATATACGAATATATTCGTGTTTAATAATTACGAAGGATACTCACTTTACGCAGTCGTACTATACGCCACGGTGGTGCCACGTAATGGGGGGAAGCGAATTACAATTTGTAGAAAATGATTTTTCCCCCCCAAGTGATCCTAACATCCGTGGAATGTTCGAATAGAATATTTACTCGGATGCGGCGAAAGGATTTTAAAGTGTCGTTTTTCGATAATCGCACGCGAACGGTGGGGTTAAGCTTGTTTGCTCGCCACGAGGAATGCGTTGTCGATTGATATTTTATATTTACGAAATATTTTTATGCTTCCTTGGAATTTGTATTCAGAGAGAATAATCCGAGAATGTTAGAATCGAGGGAGTTTGAATTAATTTTTAATCGGAACGAAATTAATACAATGAACAATTTTTATGCGAAATATCACAAAAATCTTCAGAATGATTCTGATTAATATCTGCATTCTATGAAAATATATAATAATCAAGTAGAATGTAACACGATTCGTAATGGATTGAAAATTTACGATAAATGGTTTCAAATTCGCGATATCGAAAAAAGTGAAATTAATACAATAATAAAATAAATGGAAATATAATAGTCAAAATGATACGGCTATTGATAATAATGCATTGAAAATACCAGTGAACGAAAATCGGTTCTATATAATTCCAGCATAACCAGGATAGATTTATTCCATACAATGGCTGCGTGGTAAGGTAACAATTGGTAATTTAAAATTTCATTATAAGCTGATATACTCCGTGGAGGACGAATAGAATGAAGCTTACCTTGAGTTTCAAGCGTCGTCGTAACACGTGTCAATGTATCGAACGAGCTTGCGAATTGAGGAGGAACACCTGGATAATTCGAGCTCATAAAGGAGATCAATGATTAGGTAACCCGAACAGGTTGGGGTTCGAAATGGAAAGGTGGTCATTTCGAGCACTAGATCCGAAGATAAGAGGATCGATCGGCATAGAAATGGCTATTATGACTGTTATCCTGTTAGAACGTGTATCCTTAATGCGGGAAGTTTATGAGCGACGTAAGGAGCATTAATTATAGGAGAAAGTACTTGCCAACACTCGTGACTCGTAATTTTGATTCGATCGAATTCGTCTCGGTACGTGCCTTTCAATTATTATTATTATTATTATTATTATTATTATTATTTTGAGAACTTTTTTAACGATGATTGCTTTCACAACGAACGAATTTTCGATTCGTTAATTCATTTATAGATTCTTAGTTTAATTTATTAATTAGAAAACGAAGGGCAATCAAACACTCGCCTTCACGAACTATCATTATTGCTTCGATCATTATTATTTAGAAAAGTTTGTTGAAACGATGACTACTCTTGTACATTCGAATAAATCAACTCTTATCGTAGTAATTTCCTTTTCAATTATTTCAATTCGTTCGTTTAATAAACTCTACGTTACAAGATTATCATCATACAATATATCTACTATAATAATTATTACACGTTAAAAAGATCGCGAGATTGCAATCGATCGAAATCCAAATCCCTTCCATCGAAATTTCTTTGAAAAAATTTCCTTAAAATCCAAAGAAAGGAATTTAAAAAACTGCAGATTTCCTTAAAATCCAAAAAAAAAAAAAAAAAAAAAAAAAAAAAAAAAAA